ATTCATGTTACTGAGAGCAAATTCAATGTGCCCTGTACAAGAAGGTAATGAGATTTGTGATGATTCCCAGTTCCTTGGGGAATTATTTCAGCCTTAGATGGCACTTTGAGAACACTCTGTCCTTGCACAAGAAAGCTTTCCTTAGTTATAAGTAGACACTTAATATAGGGCAAGATTAAAATCCTTGACAAAGGTTGTAATGACTTCACTAGGTCAAGGATTTTACCACAGGATAGTGAAACAAAGAAATGAACAGAAATGAACAATGTACGACCCTGTCTCCCTTGTGAAGGGAGGTCACTCTTGGCATGGATCTTGGACCTCAACCAAGCACTTAGTCTTCTGAAGTGAGAGCTGTATTGTGCATGGAAATTAATCCACACCTTGCTACCTGTTGGACTTTTTGGATTGGTTTGTATTCTCTTGGCAATAATATACAAGGAAGAGAGGGGTGACTCTGTGATCAGTTCTCCTCTGTTAGTAGGTAACATTGGTAAGGTGTGCTTAAAAATTTGCCTGTCTGGCTTCAATGTCTTTCCTGATAGGCAGTCTAAGCTACATTTGCTACAGATTGCTGAGCACTGAATCTTTAGATATCTATCAGAACACTGAAGCCATCTTTTGACAATAGCTGTTGCTTTCTACCAGTTTCCAGTGAGTATTGAGTTATTCAAGAACCCATCTTGTGTCAGCTAGGCTCTGGAGGCTACTGATGTTTTCTGGTACAAGTATGGGAACAATGGACAGGATTATAATTTTCAGTAAAATGTTGGGTTACAAAGAACCTAATAGACTAAGGCATTTTGCAGAAGTGCTATCTTAACTCCTTAATGTCATATAATTAGGGGGGAAAAGGATAAAATCTAAAAAAAAAAAGAATTAAAAATGAAAAAGAAAATAAAATGGGGGTTGCTTGGGTTTGGAATATTCTTTTTTCTCTACCTAGCTCTATGGTTTATTTTTCCAAGGAAGAAAACATTTGCATTGGCACTGTGCTGACTGGGGAGGAAAATGGTATTCTAAGCCCTATCCTGCATATTTCAAGGCTGGCAGTGCTTTCTTACTCAGTCTTGTGGTACCCTATCTCCCACAGGCCTGTAGATAAAGGCCTGAATCAAAGCACCTTGCTCATCTAATTCCCAACACTGCCTCTCCCTGTGCATCAACTACTTGCCCACTGTTCCTTCTTTCTACTGCACAATTTCTTCTATGCTGTGAGAGGAATACATGCAATTGTGTAGGTCCAGTTGATGTAGGTTTCAGTTTGCTTTGCTTAATGGTTGGGTTGTACTCACTTTTGTTGCCACCATCTCCCTAGTCTGGTCCTCTGACTAGAGGCCATGGTTAGAAGGTCATGTCTACATGGAGATACTAATTTCTGGTATTGGTAAAGTCAGGATCAGAAGATGTTCTGAGCATGTGTTTTGGAGAAGACAAATGAAACTGCAGTGAAGTTGAAGGATCTGATTCACAAAAAAAATGTCAAAAGAGTCTGAAAGATTTTTAAATGGGAAGTATTGTAGGAAACCACCTTCTTGTAGAAGAATGCCCCAATATAACTAGCTAGCTTTTGCATCTTTAGTTTAGCAGACGGAATGAAAAGAAGACAGAACTACTGTCTGCAGGAATCAAATTGTAGAATTCAGTGTCTCACTCCACTTGGACCTTGAAGGTCTTCAAAAATAATTTGAGGCAAAAAGAAGAGAAAACTTGTGATGTTAGGAGACAAAAAATATTATGGTTTTGTAGATCAAATTTCTAGAGAGACTCAGATTGATTTGTGTAGATGAATTTTTCAGGAAGGGAAATGAATGAAGAAATACTCAGCTTCAGAGACCTGGGATGAGGATGGTAGACCTCATTTCACAGTAAATTCTGCGTGTCCATGTGAATGCTGGTGACAGTGACATCAGTGGTGGCACTAAGCTTATTGGGAGGTGGGAGATGGCACAGGAAAAGGCAATGCAAACAGCTTGAGCAGAACACTTCCAGGAGAAGAGAAAGTGACTGGTAGAAAACTCCTCCATTCTCCATCATTCGTCCATGAAGATTGATGAACTTCTCTGCATCTCTGTCCTGGTCTTTTCAGTGAAGAACCCTGCTAGCTTTCTCATAGTGGCAAAAGTAATTAAAAAGGGGATCAGCTTCAGAGGAACATAAACCACACTGAAAGTCTCTCTTTAATGGTATCCCCTCCATACTTCATTGGTGGCAGGCATTCTGCTAGTACCTGCTAATTCTATTTCTAATCAGGTTTACAGCTCACTAAAGGATGTTTTATATCTAACATAGATACATTTAATGGTTTAATCCTTGTCTGTAATTATGAAAAGAGATTTTAGAAAAGACTGGAAGACATGGCACACAAGATACTGGAAGTTCAGTGGTTTTTTATCTTTGCTCAAAACCGCGATGGAAGATGTGTGGAACTCCACTACTTTGGACGGCAGTGGATTTTGTAGAGACAAAGTTCAACGTAGTCATAAGTGTATTAACTTTCACTACAGCTATATTTCCTGCAATGTTTGGAAACTCAGAAAATTAGGGCCACTATGCTGTTGGCAGGATGGAATTATGAATCATGAGGCAAAGACAACACCTGGCTGCTGGGGAAAGAAAACCTCTGAAGAGCAACTATATATGTATCTGTGTGTATTGCCTCTTTTGAGGGCAAATATACATCTTCAAAGTTAGGCTGAAATTCTCCAATTAAATACAGTTTGATCAATTAATATTTAGTTGAGGGTATTCTACAAGTATTTTTCATTATTTTGTGACACAAGTGTCCCATAGAATTCCTGTCTGAGTTGCTGGATTCCTGGCAAAGGAGGTTACTCATCACTCTGGTTCAAGGGAGATCCAAGAGGCATATTGCAAAATTTTGGGTTCTTCAGTGGAAACCTCAGTCGAGTCTGAACTTTCCCAAAGCTGTAAGCCTGAAGGCTCTAGGGGGAAGGAAGCTCTGAAAGCTGCAAGGTGCCCCATGACAGAAGGTCCTGCAAATCCTGGAGTTGGCTTCCTTCATGTATTTATCACAGTATCATGAAATTCTCACAGTTTGGGTCTCGCAAACTCCTGTACTATATGCTTTAACCCTTCAGTTTTGAATTTGGTGCCTTATTTTTTTTTCCAAATATTCATGTCTTTATACACTGACAGAGCTTGCACAAGACTAAATCAAGCCAAAAGAAAACATCTGGACATGTCAAAATGTGGATGAATGGAAGTCTCAGCTGGATTGTTCCATACAGTTTTGGATACCATACTTCAGAAAATATGTGGTCCAAATGGATGTACTCTGCAGAGATTAAAAAGAATAACTGGAAACTGTGATCAGCGAGGAAAACAAAAGCAGAATTAGGTTTATTTAGTCTGAAAAAGAGAACTCCAAAGGAAGGCAGGAGAAATATTCCTTAGGTATGCAAGCACTTGGTGGGAAGTAATAGCTTGTTGTCAGAGCATTCACAATGCATACACAAAAGATAACGGACCTAAACTGCAGTAAAGGAGATTCATGGCCAAATCAAGGGCTAAAGTATGAAAGGGTACCCTAGCACTGAATTATATTGTCTGAGAAAGCTGTAAATCTCCATCATTAGGGAGATAGTTGCTGTTGTTTTAGGCAAGTATTTCTCAGTTATGTCTGGATGTGGGTTAAAAGGAGGAACTAAGCTGATTTTTGAGAACACTTTCAGCCATGTTTTCTATAATGTGTTTTGGAAGTAGGGAAGGAGAAAAGTTTGGAGATGAAACCTGAAAAAAACTTCCAAAGATTACGATCTTTCACATTATTCTTTTATTGGCAAATACTACATATAAAAAGTAAAGGAATTACTTTTATCTTCCCTGATACATGAAGATTTCAAAAAGTAGCTGTCTGCTCTTCTTTTTTGACAAATGTGGTGAATAGATAGCCCTGTTATTATCTCTGTCCTTGCTCTGCTACTGAAAGAACAATTGAATAAAGTTATAATATTTATCTTCTAGTAGTTTTAGGTATTAACACTAATTAACACTGATAACACTCAGGTAATATTGTCAATCCTGCAATGATCTGCATTCTGATCTTGTGCAAGATTCAAAACATTTGTAATGATGTTCTGCCTTACAGATGAGGCATAAGCTATTAAATACAGTTTGATCCACGTATTTCAAGAAAACATAAGATATTATTATCTTACTTATTGGTATTTTTAAGTATCCCCTAAACCCTCCTCTGTTTTCCTGGTTTTGCTTTTTCTAATAGAGCTTTTACAACCAGTATGTCAAATTTTTCCTGCTTTCCTATGAAATGGCACTTCTGCAATCTTTCTTTCTTTCTTTCTTTCTTTCTTTCTTTCTTTCTTTCTTTCTTTCTTTCTTTCTTTCTTTCTTTCTTTCTTTCTTTCTT